AGGACCTGAAGTTTATGGTACTTGGAGTATCTTTTATTTTAAGCCTAACCATCGTGCTTCATTTTGGTAAATGGGCATTTTGCAAAAATTAAAGTGTGAACCTTAGTTTCTATGGAAGCTTTGTCACGGCAGCTAGCTGTATTCCTTAAGTCCTTGCAGATTTCTTTCTTTTTTTTTTTTTTTTTTACATAAACATGGTGGATCATAACTTGGAGCATCATGTTGGATAACTTTGACACTCCCAGAGTTAAAACCAGCCAGGGCTTGTACATTTGCAAGCTACAGCTAAGGTTTCAGACCTTATCTATTTTTTTTTCTTTTTTTTTTTTTTTTTTAATTGTTTGGACCTCATGCTTACAACTTTGTTTTATACTCTGACTTGCATAACGTTGCACTGTTTTTGTACTTTCATGATGTCAAATAAATTATTGTTTTTTCATATAAATTCTTTTGTTTGGTTTTCTGAGTGTGATTTCTTACCTATTACTAAAGTGCGATCTTTGGCTTTGTAGGTGTAGTGTTAGCCAGTAATAGAGGTAATCAAATCAAAATGTCTGCACAAGCATTTTAAAGCTGTTTTTCTTCAGGTGGTGAGCTTTAAATCATTACTGTGGATCTTTATGCAACAAGATATAAATATAACTCCCGAAAAGAAGTAGAAAATCACATGCTGATTGTGACAGGCCTCCATTTGGATCTAGAATGTTCTTCAGGTGATCACTTACATAGCTTGTAAAGTTTAGAGAGAACTATATACATAAGAAAACGCAATACATTAGTTTCATTTAGATCCTCCATTTCTGTTAACATTAAAAGAGTACAAATGCCTTTCTTGTCCCACAAGTGGGAATATTTGGCTGCAGACAAAAAAAAAAAAAAAAGAATACAGATTTACTATGCTGAATAACACACATTAATATGTGCATATATAGGTTGAGTTATACAACAAAAGAAAAAATTGTAATATCCTATTAGGCAATTAAAGAGGAGTTTTAATACAGCATGAAATCCCACAATGCTACAGTCTGCCGGAAGTAAAAAGTTTGTGGCTCTGCTGGAGGGAAGGTTTCTTTATTAACAACTTTCAGCTTGTCTGCATTGTTGGGTCCTACTTTTGCCTTTTTTACCCTAAAGTTTGGTTGGATTTAGGTTGGGCTGAACAAGCTTGCCAATATAGCACGGTGGTACCATCCTGCTCTAGAACAGGGGTCTGCAGCCTTTTAATAAAACAAAACCTATATATATATATATATATATATATATATATAGAATAGAGTAAATTAGAATAGAAAATCCCTTCATTGTCCCACAATGGAGAAATTCTGGTGTTTACAGCAGCAAAAAAATTATAGAAAATAATTGTCACACAAATGTGGACCTTAGAAAAATGTATAAGAATAACATAATAGCGAAGAGTTAAATCATAAACAAAATACTGTACTGTACAGTGTTTTATCAATATAAATACTGTGCATCTGGACAATAAACAACCAAAATAAAGCTATAAACATTTTAACAGTAATGGACATTTGAAAATAGCACCAACATCAGCAATGTGCAAAATTATAGCTGCATTTTATTTAACTGACTAAGATTGAAACTGTGCAAAATCAGCATGAATGTAACAACTTACTGAGGTTGTTGGGAACAGTGGTGGTTATAAAGCCTTACAGCTGCTGGGAGGAAGGATCTGTGATAAGGCTCCCTGGTGCATTTAGGGTGCAGCAGTCTGTCACTGAAGGAGCTCTCTAATTCTGCAACAGCTTCATGCATGGGGTGGGAAACATTATCCAACAGAGATGTTAATTTAGTTAGGATCATTTTGTTTCCCAAGTCCTGCACTGAGTCCAGAGGGCATCCAATCTCAGAGCTGGCCTTCCTCATCAGCTAATCAGCTTCTGCTTATATATCTGCAATAGGAAAGGTGTTGCCATTTCAGACAACCAACACTTTTGCAGCTTTAGATTTTAAACTAAGGGAAAATAAACTATTCATAAATAAGAAGCTTTCATTTTTTTTCTAAAGGTTATTTGATGTAAAAAAAATTAAATAAATACATTATCCAAGCAAATGTCTCTAAAAATAATTCTGTTTCCTTTAATGTCATTCAGTTGTGAAAATTCTATTCAAATAGCCTCACTATTAAGAGCCACTGTAGAGGGTCCAAAGAGCCACAGCCACTCCAAAGCCGTAGGTTGCAGACCTCTGATCTAGAAAGCATAGATTCCCTGTGACTCCCTACTTTTCCTCTTTTGTTTTATGAATTAAACCAATATTTCAATCTAAAAAAAGACCATTTAAAATAAACAGCCATATCCCATTTCTGCATAGCTCATCTAAGTAATGTTTCTGCCTTGGCCTTTGTTGGCTTACCCTCCTGGTGAGAGCTGCCAATGACTGTCCTCTGGACAGCTGTCAAGTCAGCACTCTTCACTATAATTGTGTAGATCACATTTCCTCATAAAATATAGTTCCATTTATTGGTCTTAAGTAAGTTAGTGTAACCTTTTTGATGATCCACAAGCTTGAGTTTGACATATATATATATATATATATATATATATATATATATATATATATATATATATATATATATATATATATATATATATATATCCTATAAATATATCATTGCGTGTTTTGGATGTAAACAAAAAGCTTGCACCTCTGGTGCAGGGGCGGAGCTAGATGGGGGGCCAGGGGTGGCCACCATGGCCACCCTTAGTCACTCATTGGCCACCCTTAGTCACTCATTGGCCACCCCTGTTGCCACCCCTATCATCTTTTCCCCCTAATAATCAAGTGCATTATAGAAAACATTTACATTTTTCATATATTAATTACTATTTTTTCATATATTCATAATTACTTGATAGCAAAAACACTGTGGTTAATTATGCACATCCATATACCAACGTTAAAGATGATAAGTACAGAATTCATGCTCTTTTCAGAACTAGATTTTGTGTTTTATGGGTTAAAGAGAAAATTATGTGTGTCTGCAGTCATCTAGGAGTCTTTAATGAAATCAGATAAATAACTATTTTAATAAAAACGTATTAAATAATCAATTTATGTAGATCTTAATACTTGTAAATATCAATTTTATGGAAGATGATTATTGATAAAAAGTAGGTAAGTAATGACAATGGAAAAGATCTTCGCCCAAAACTCAAACCTGAAAGAATTTTATTCACTATACCTTTTATCTTGAAAGCACCGAAGTTTAAATATATTCGTCTATTTGTTGGCAAATGCTTTAGGAAAGTATAGTTTGTCTTTATTTAGAAAATATGGATGTTTTACTTTTGGCCCCCCCTCAGTGTACATTGGTTATTGCCTGGCCACCCTTATTAAAATTTTCTGACTACACCTCTTCTCTGGTGACTTGCACCCATTCTTCAGTTTCAATTTTTCAGTTTCAAGAATTTATTGTCATTCTTAAGATTTGAGAATTCATTTGAGTTTTATATGTGAAATAATTACCCTAAATTGAATTCTGTACATGCATTAATCTTAGATTAATTTGTACTAATGCAAAGACTTTCTCTGTGAAGGTAACATCAGCCATTACAATAGAGGCAAAATTACTTGATAGTCAAGAATCTGTTAAGTGAAGGGATCTGGATTTTTCTGTTTTCTCATATATCTAATAGTTCAACAAGGCTGATACAAGCATAAATTAAAGAGTGATGTTGAAAAAAATTGGAGGGGAACAAAGCAAAAAGTCTGACAGAGAGTAAAAGTTGCAACATCTGCCAAAACAGCTGAGCCTATTAATAGAGAAAGAATGTGACGCTGCCGTCTCTACTGCTCGGGACAGTCTGCACGTCTCACTCTCAAAGCGTGAACGTGCACGCTGCCATGTGTCCAGCTCTCAGCCTTAGTCAGCCCTCAGCACAGTTTGTGCTAAATATGCTGACTGAGCTTTTGTTCTGTCTTTTTTTTTTTTTTTCCACCTCCGTGTTTGTTCTACTCACAGCAATGAGTCACATTCAACACGTTCAGGCATCCATCTTTATTTTAAACTGGGAATAGAAACAGAGCGGAAAATAAAAAGCAGGCTTTCTTCATTTTGCTGTCTGATGATGTACACTATGTAAAAACTTGAACAAAACAGGAAATAACATTTAAAATTAAAGGCGGGATGCATCAGACATTAAATTGCAAAAACTACATCATGCTGTAGTCCCACCTGGTGGGTAGAAGCACCTTTCATCCTTTTGCTAAAGTGCCTTTGAAAAGTATTCATACCCTTTGAGCATTCTTATATATTTGGTTATTTTACAGCCTAAAAATTAAATGTATTTTTTTATATTTAAGTCATTGCAATCAAACATGGCCCATTTTGACTCCAATATCCCTAAATAACACCCATTACTTCAATAGTCACTATAAAAGAGAAAGTATATTGTTTGCAGCCTGAACCGAGAGACCAAAGAGGTTTTTTTGTGGAGAAGCAGCCAAGACAAGACTATAGTAACTCTGGAGGAACTGCAGATATCTATGACTCTATTCATGGATCCCCAACTTAAAAGGTGAGAGAACGGTCAGGTGAGACCTAAAGCTGAACATTTTGGGTTGCATACTATGTGTGGAATAAAGCAAATTGCATTGGTTTGAGAAAATTCCTCGCTGAGAAACATGGTAGAGGATGCATAGTGCTGTGGGCATACTTTTATTCAAAAAGGAATGGAAACGTAGTCAGAAATGATGGAAAGAAAGAGTAGTAAAATCTTAAGAGTATGGCATGCATTTGTATGTGGACCCCTTTATTCTGACACCACTAAATAAAATCCATTAAAAAGAAAGCCATCGCTGAAAAGGCTGTTTAAAAGTCCATTAAAAGTTTGCTCTAAGCCATGTAGGGGACACAGCAAACATGGAAGAAGTCGCTCTGCTTAGATTGAGTTGATTGCAGGACAGTACTTTAAGAAATAAAGTGAAACACTGCAAAAAAACTTCAGAGGGGGCGGCTTCAAAGGACATGAATACTTTTCCAAGGTTCTGTATCTACAGTGAAGTGAGGTAACACATGGATGTCCTTCATTTAATCAAAGGGCAAAAAGTGATCGGATTATCCTCCAATTATTCTCTCTCATCTGCACAGAAACAAAACACGGAGTCTAACTGAGCCCAAACTGCAAGTGAACATATTTATCAGAAGTTACACTAATATTCCTGCATAGTTAGAATGTGCATTCATAGTCAGTGGAGAAAACGTCTCCTCTGAATGCATAAAATAAAAAAAGGAAGCATTCAACATGGCATCTCTTTAAGTGCTGTGTAAATAGCATCCGCATTTCTATTTATAACATTTTCTTCTGGTTTGGCTCTAGGCTGTAACTCTTACAGAGATGAAGCAATCTTTGTCTGCATGGCTTCCATTCTTTCAGGCTTCACATTAAATCTACATCTTGTTTGCTTGTCAAGATGTGATAGATGGCTTTTTTCATTTCATAGCAATATATATGTATAAAGAATCGTATGTTAATCTCATAAACCTAATCTCTATAGAAATTAGAGAGGAGGGGGTTAGTTTTTTTCAGTCTGTAGCTATGTTGCCTTGAGGTTGTTGAAGCTTATGTATTTATAGCCTGTTAGTTGTGATTTGGGGTGATTCTAGTAATTGAAAGGCAACAAGAGGAAAGATAATCAGAGCTAAAGCTACTGTGGAGAAGCAATGTAGGGTTAGTAATGCTTTAATGTGAGGAGGCTGTGATCTCTGAGAGCTTGGCACAGCTTGGAGTTCGAGCCCTCTGCGCTCTCTGGTACAGCTCGCTGTCTCCAAAATAACGAGCTCTGTAGAGCATTCCTTCCTCTGCAACAGACCACACAAACAAACCATGTGAGATATATGAGGGGGCGCTGCAAAAAGCTTCTTGCAAAACATTCAGCCTGGGCATACTCAGAAAGAAGCCCTACTTTGTTGTTTCTCTTTCCAGCAGTTGTTGCGGAGGTTTGAAATGTAGTCATCCTCCACATTTCGTTCTAGATTTTTCCGATTCACACCAGTGATCTCTTTGGAGAAATGCTCCCCCACATAATATGGCACCTTCAGGTTCTCAGTCAACCTCTTCTGGGTGTAGCCTGCTGACCTGAGAGGACAATGAGAACATGTGGGAGAGATATCACATGACAGCAGGCAGTAAAAGAATAATCCAGTAGGCGGAGTTAACTAAGATAAAGTGGACTTATTTTTTAAGCTTGCAAAAACAATTGTGTGCACAAAACTAAAATAAATCCACAGTATACCCATTATTTTATAATAAATACAGCTGAAACAAACTACATAATTCTCTGAAATTTAACAAAATAGCCCTGTGATTATTTCAGTCAGGTTAATTGCTTTAAAGGCCAATTACTAAACTACCATATGCTCGGTTGAGGTAGTCATGCACCCTGAAACTTTTTGAGTTTGTCACATTTAAACAAATTTAAATTGTATTTATAGGTGTAGTTTTATTTATTTATTTTTTAAGTTGAAGTGATTTACACTGCAAAAACGATCTAGAAATAAGTAAAAAATGTCTTAAATCAAGTGGGTAGGTAAATAAGATGATTTGCCAATTGAACGAGTTTTACACTTACGCTTAAAAAAAGATAATTACATAATATGTGCTTGTAATTAGACAATGTAGCTGATTTTCAATCAACAATTTTGATTTTTAAATGTAAATTGTCTTGTTCCATTGGCAAAGTATCTCACGTAACTCCTCAATTCAAGACAAAATGCTTTTATTTTAAGAAAATTATTTAGATTTCAGTTTGCAGTGTATGACTTATGTCACAAATGTTGGAAAACAAAATAATAATTCTTCCTTTCAAAACAGCCAGATTTGATATAACATTCCTTTTCAAGTCCTACAACATATAATCAACTGGATTTATGTTTGAACTCAAATAAAGAAACTATAGCTACTACCGGTAATATGTATGTTTAATATATTATTCCAGTTGCAAGATTCTCTTGGGGTGATTGGGAGAGTGGTGGCCTAGTGGTTAGAGCATAGAGCTTGGAATCCTGAGGTTCTGAGTTTGAGCCCCACTCACACAGACTGCCACTCTGGGTCTCTGAGCAACACCCTTAACCCCATACTGCTCCCCGAGGTGATGTGTTAAATGTAAAGGTAAATTTCTCCAATGTGAGATCAATAAAGTTCTGTTATCATTATTCTCTAGTCCCAAATTACTTAAATCCTTATACTTATCTATTAATTTAATTTCCAGGATTGTTCTATATATTAAAAAACCCATCCATCCATCCATCCATCCATCCATCCATCCATCCATCCATCCATCCATCCATCCACTCTGGCCAGCTGCCATTGCTTTGCAAAGGACAAGCATTTCCACAGCATGATGCTTCCACCACCATGTATCCATTTGGTGATGGTGTGTTTAGATTTAAGTGCAACATTACCTTTCACAACACATGGTGTTTTTTTGGACTCTTTGCAGACTGCATGGCAGATTATTTTCTTTAAAACAGATTATCTAATCTGAGCTGTGAATTTGTACAGGTTCTCAAAAATCACCACGGGTCTCTTGGCCAATTATGTTGATTAATCTTTACGTCTCTTGCTCTGCAGTGTTCACTGAAAAGTTTAACTATCTACTAATTTCTTGACTTTTGAAGACAGTTGGTGGCCAATCAGAGGTTTCAGGATAAACAGATCAGAATACAAATGAACATATAATTTCAATGTTTACGTTTTTGGATATAATGTGAGAATCTGTAAAAAAAAAAAAAAAAAAAGTTTTCAGATTTAAAGCCTTTTTAAAAATTTCTTCTGCAGAGTTGCAAAACTTTCCTCAATGTGAGGATGACCTCATGTTAAATCCTCATCAGTTGTTATTAACACTCTTCTTAGGGGAGGATTTTAGAATAAGGGGTCACACTCACGGCCTGAAGCTGAGACTGTAGGAGGGGCTGTTGACCATTATCTGACTGAGAGCCGACACGATCACTAGGATGAGGATGGGCATGACCTGCACGAAGATAGCCAGACCTCCCTGCGAAATGTGGCACAGAAAAACATCCCTGGAGAGAAACGTTTTTTATCTTGTAAAATGGCAAATGTCTAAATAGCACCCCCTGCTGGCCATTACGCCACAGCACAGGGTCTGCACAGTACTGTAGTTTTATGCAGCATTTAGGCTTAAAGAAACAAGAAAATGCAGACTATTTACTGTGCAATTTGGTATCTTTGATCTGCAAGGAGTCAACAATCACCATTTTTTAGAAAATAAGGTATCTGAAATATCTGATCACATTTGTCGCCTTTTTTAAAGTAAAATAAATAAACAAACAAATAAATAAAACGCCAATCAATGAAAGGACAAGGTCAGCAGTAAATTAAAACAACTGCATATTTGGAAAAATAAAATAGATTTTATAAATGTAGCTACTTAATACTATTTTAGAAGACAAGTAATTAATGAGGTAAAAATATTAAGAGAGAAAGGATGTAATAGCATGCATAGTGAAATAATAATAATAAAATAAATAACAATAATAATACAGACAGATAAAATGAAACATCAGTATTGTACATACATGACACACCCTTGTCTATATTTATATTTATTTAACACATGATATACAATAGATACATAAATAAATAGAAAATAGATAAAATAACAGGTATCTATTAAAGAGCAATCATAATAAACAAAGAATAAGAACAAATAACTAGTAAAAAAATATAATATAACATTTTGAAACAACAGAGATCAACTTACATCTCTTGGTCGCTCTCTTCTCTCCCGCCTCTGGTTACGCATACGTCCATTAGTATATACATGAGCATTACCTAGAATAACAAAGCACCTTTACAGACGCATCACAACAAGCTGATTGTTCGAACCCGAAACGATGATACTAACTCGATGGATAGCCTCCCCCGAAGAACATGTTGAAGAGGTCCTCAGGTGAGATGTCTGGCTCGAAATTTCCATTCTCTGGGCCGCTACTTGAAGGATGCCTTCCCTCTTCTCCCCATTGATCGTACTGCTTTCTTTTGTTTGCATTACTCAGAACAGCATAGGCATTACCGATAGCTGTGAGAAAACAACAATTCGAAGTTAATTCGGCATCCGCCTCATGTTTCACTTTCCTGATTAAAACACCTTTAAATGCCTCTGTTGCGCCCGGAGTGTGATTCTTGTCAGGATGGAATTTCAAAGCCAGTTTTCTGTACGACCTCTTCAGCTCGTCCTCAGAGAAATCTTTCTGGACCCCAAGGATTTCATAGTAGTCTTTGCATTGTTTTACTCTGTGTGAAAAGGCATGATTGGGAACATGAAGGACAGATTTAAAACAGAATTATGCCAACAGCAAATCTATTTATCTTCTACCTTCTCACTGCCTCCAGCTGCTCTGATGTGTAAGATTTGGAGGTTTCTGTAGGCTGTTCTTCTGCTTTTGTGTCCTTGCAGGGGGTGTGCCACTGTCGAGGCCCTGGAGTGCCATTGAAGTTTGAGTGGCCACCATTTCTGGGTGTAAAGCCATTCTTTGCTATCAGGTCCAGCAGTGCTTCCAATTAAAGAGATCATATCATATTTAGCTTTATATTCAAATATTCGTCTTGCGTTAACACCAGCTTTGACATTTTACATAAAGATAAAAAAGCAAACATTTGGGGTAAAAACTTCCTTTGTTAAGAATTAACATAAAGGTAACATTTTCCTGAAGCCTTTTCTGAACAAATAAAAATAAATATAGGTGGCACTTTTATTTCTTTGGCTTTAAGAATTCCATACGTATAAAAAAAAAATACCCAAAATCTCTCTGAGCTGTTCTGTTGTAGATAGAAACAAAAAAAGAATAAAGGATCTTAAAACCATATAAATATAACCATCCATTTTTCTCTCAGTTTGATTAGTATTTTATCTTCTTTTTTTTAAACACTGCCCTAATTCCTGAAAAAAGCTATGAAAAACATGTTTGCTGTCCATATTAAATGAAGTATAAATCATAATCTTAAAGATTCACATATTAATATTTAATATTAACATGTTTTCACTCTCCTGATTAGTTCATGCATTTTCTTTAGTCAGCCGTTTTGCAAATATATCTATAGTCTTAACATTTATTTTCCTTTCATGTTAAAATGCAAACTTCTATGCATTTTATGGTAGTTTAAGGGAATGTCTACACCAGCTTTACATATCTATCCAATGTTATCCTATTCTTCACCTCAGCTTAAGCTCAATTAGAAGGAAGTAAAAATATCAAGATGAGACTTTATAAATTGAACAGGCTATTTTAACATGTCCCTGTAGCTTTGATTGCATGCCCCCTACCCCTGCATGTCATTTTTAATCTTTTCCCTTTACTTCAGTTCCCTTAAACATCCCTACAGCATGCAGAAAAAGTAACATCTGGTATTACACTTTTTACCTGAGGTTGGCTGTGTCGCCTACATTACTTCACAAACATTAAATAGGACTTTCTCACAGCTAAAAAATGGCTTTCTTTTTGCTATATAGACCAAATATAAGCCATGTACTGGTAAACTAAATAGCTATCCAGTCTGTGAAACACCCCAGCTCCCCCAGTGTTTCTAAAGTGATACTCAGATAATATTTAACGCAATTAAATTAATGCTTAAAAATAATCTATTTTAATTAGGGGTTTCAGAGTGGACAGGGCTGAAGACAAACATATAATATATGTATAAGATGACAAAACAATCCTTTTTTAATATCTGTTGATAATTTTCCTTCTATTTTAAATGCTTGTACTGTTTTATCCTTGTTCCTCACTAATAATTTCTGCAAAGAACATGCAGTTTATGGTTACTAGTTTCATAATATGTGGGGAAAAAATGAATATGACTACTTTCCTCCCCAGACAACGTGTGTGAGAGAATGAAATCAAACTGCTATTTAAGGATGCTGCCCAACCAACCCACTCTCTAGGTTTATCTTTCTATGAGTGACATATAAACGCTTATTGTGAACATAAAGAGGCACAGAATGTGTGTATTGTCAGGTATAAGGTAACATTTCATAGCGAGTGAGTCAGCTAGTGATGCTACTGAAGGCCCTGGCTTGATGCTGTGTGCGCAGCTCCTTTGGGATGCAGGTGATGCTGCAGGTGATGATGCTGCAGATAAAGGGTGCTCATCTCTTACATCCATCCCGACAGCTTACCTTGAGCTTTCTCTGTTGGGTAAAGTCGCTGTGCCTTGTCCAGGAACCTCAACGCCTTTTCCAGCTGATGACTCCTAAAAGCTGCGGCTGCAATGTCAATGCAGCGCTCCGCCTCGTCCCTGTTTACTTCCATTGCAGAAACAGCGGTAGGTGCCTATAAATACATCCGTCCACCAATTAATCTACATGTGCATAACAAGCAGACCACTGCCATTCAGTTATAGTAATATATACTTATTAACACGGGAGCGTTATTTTTTTTTTCTCCTGCTGGGAGCTCAGGGTACTTCTGTTTGTTTAAAATGATTCAGATGGCATCCAGGGGTGCTACACATTAATTTCCACTAGAGGGCGACAAAGCAACACATTTCTAAATGTAGGTCAGCCAAGATGTAACGCAAAACTGTGATGACCCAGTGATATAGTCAGGTTTCATTCTCCTTGCGCTGCTACACTGCGGTTTACGGTCATTCTATGAGCTGTGATCTCAAACCCTAAAAGATGCGTTCAAGTACAACATGTATATATTTTTAATCTAAACTGAAATCTAAATAAAATTATGCAAATATGTCTTTTATGATCAAATTCCACTGTGATTTTTGTTTTAATGTAACAATTTCTGTTTTTTTTTTTAACTGTATATCGCCACATAAAATGTGTTATCATTTCATATGCTATGGAATAAAACTAAATTAGCCAGATAATGTGCACTTGCTCTTAATTTGCTGCTACCTCACTGTTATTGTCTTTTTGAGAGGCTAGGGTTTCCAGCATGGGCAGCAGAACAACAAGGTCACATATTTTAGGGTTTTATTGGTGCTTCATAGTAGATACAATCAGTGGCGGTTCTAGACCAAATGTACCAGAGGGGCCAGGAGGGGGCCAGTGTTGTTTTCAAGGGGGCACAGAAAAGCGTGAAACAAAAAAACACGGCAAGGGATTCAAATAAATTAAGAGAGCTGCATAAAGTAAAATTTCCATTCAATTAGGTTTAATTAAAACTCTATTTCTTATTAGGTCAATATACATTCAGGATTTCGGGATTTTACATATTTTTCACATAATTTAAGTTCAAATTACCATTATTTATTTATTTATTTATTTTTTATAAAATCTGAAGTAGAACTAAAGAAAAGCTGATAAATTCACCTGTAAAAAGTAGAGCATTAAAAAAAACATTTAGTAGATGAAATCTGGGATCCTATTTCAATACCACAGAAGCCTTATTATCACCTTATTGTTTTTGAATTATTAGTAAAACAGAATTTGTAAAGAAAAAAAAAGTAACAAAGTATTATGTCTTCAGTGCAGGGGCCATAACAGGGGCCAGGACATGAGCTGCAGGGGCACTGGCCCCCGTTGGCCCCTGTCTAGAACCACCCATGGATACAATTCCTTTATACATTTACTTGATTCATTAGCTGATAAATCATACTTTTCTAATTGATTGCTGATATTTAAAAATATAACTAACATGCAATTCATATTGTCATATATGCTTTTAATGCATTTTTACTTAAAGTACGAATTTAAATGTATTGCCAAATGTGACTTTATGCAAAATGTTTCTCACTTAGCATCTGTAAAGTAAATTTTTCATTATTTATAGATAACTACCCATGACTTGTAATATTACAAAAAGTTATTTAAGTGATTCAAAAAGAGGAGTTATTGTGGGTTTGATGTTTTCTTGCAGAGTAAAAAAGACTCACATTTTTACTTCTGTTAATTTTTCTTAGCAGGACTTACACATAATAAAAACCTAATGAAAATTTGGGTGGAAGGAATAAAATTCAGCAAACATATCTTATCAGTAGATACCAAAATAGATGGGTGCAACCATATCATTTGACGGTATTCTTGTGATAGAAAGTGTTAAAGACAGAAATTAGACATTACCTAATGCTTATTTTGAAACTGGAAAGTTTATCAGATGAATAGCATTTGTCAGCACAAATATGTGCCTTAACGGTTGTCTGGAGATACCCCAACATATATCTTTTGTGCTGTTTTTTTTTTTTTTTTTTTATCCTTTTTTGTCTTTCTGGTGTTTTGAAAAATGAATTCAAATATATTTAAATATAATATGTATATAACATTTTAATAACAGTTTCTTGGTGGGGGTGTTTTAAAACTCATGGACTTCTAGTTTGTTTTGTGTGTATTAGTTACTTCTGGCAGCATGATATGGTTCAGTTTGCTGTATTTTTTTTTTCATGAAAGAAGGATGAGCAGATAGAAATAACACATAACCAAGCTTGTTCATATGTGAAGTTTTGAAGATTAGGGAGAAATACTACTAAACAACTGGTGATACTTCATAAATTTTAAAATGCAGTAAAACTGCTAATATTTCTTTTTATTATTTTTTTTCCCCAAAAAGGTACTAAAGGAAATGTGAATAGTTTCTATTTCTATCTGAATATGGTGGCATTTGATATGCATTAAGTAAAGCGTAACGACATTGTCGTAAAACGTTGTGTAGAGGCGCAGGTGGCGAAGAAACATCTCGAAGAGGAAACTCGATTCGAGAAACCCATTTAAGCTTTGCTTCCAACAATTTTCAAAACATAAGTTTGTTAAGTAGAAACGGTTGATAACATTCACCCCATAGCATCAAGACATGATTTAGAAAATATGATTATTTTTGCGTTTTCCAACAAAAGGTCCCATCATTCAAAACTTGCCAAAACAACTTTTTTATTTTATTACATTTTATTTCTCGCCGTGACCCGTTATAATGTCTGAGTGGAGTGGAAGTGTGAGTTAATTCAATACTAGTCTAGACAGCAGCGGAAAAAGCAGCGCAGCTGTTGGTCGGTGGGAGGTTAATACCATAGATATCCATGGATATCTATGGTTAATACATCTGGCTCACCGGATGAAAAGAAGGGGAACAGCAGATAAAGAGACAGCCAATCAGAACTAACCAAGAGGCGGCTTCTGCGCTCTGATTGGTCAGTCACATTAGAGGCTGAATCTATCATTGATGTTCGACACAGAGCTGACTACAACACTCTTTCTGGGTTACTGTAATTTTAGGTCAAGTGCGCCAGCTTGGACTACTTTCATAGCACACATAGCACCTTCCCTTCTTTGGTGAGTTATGTGTTGTGTTTTTATTTAAATGTAATTTTTACAGTAATTCTGTGTTACGCAACGTTTCCATTTTGCCAGCATCTTCGTTACATGACCACTATTTTCTCACGAGCGCCAACTAGCATCTTGACAGTCATGTTAGCTAAAAAATAATAATTTTCCGACGTTTTAAGCCTATTTTTTGTCTGTTTCTCTAATATATTTATATATTTTTTAATGTTAGGGCATCACTCTTTCAAAGCCAACATGACTGGGTGTGAACCGTTGGAAAAGAAGAAGCAGCAGCAGCACACGTCGGTTAACGGGGACGTTTGCTCAGAGGCAGCCGTGGAGGATGCGTTTGATCACACTTACAAGGAGAAAGAGGGCCCAAAACCTCCCAGAGTCATGGTGTGGAGAAATGTCATCCTCATGACTCTGTTGCATATAGGAGCAGCTTACGGCTTATTCCTCATCCCTACAGCATCTCCCTCTACTTTGCTTTGGTGTAAGTAAAGTCAAAACAAAGGAACAAAGTACTAGCCTACATGTTCCAGCAAGTCTGGATAGATGCCCTCTGTTTGAGGATCGTATTTCATCTAATTTATGTAATAGATCAACCCACAGCATTACATAATTGTGGGATGGAAGTAAAATAAGAAATGCATGGACATTTTGAAGGTATTTGCTTCACAATACAAGCTATATTGTGTTTGTTTGAAATATAAAGATGGTGTCTAAATACTATAAGCTTTACATTAGTTCCTATATTAGAAATTTAATCAAGGGATACCATGAAAGCAACATAAATACATGATTCATTGGTAAAATGGATGCCATCTATTGCAATTGCTGAAAACAATTAACTGTTTTTCTTTTTTTTTTTCAGGCATCTTTTTTAACAAACAACAATAAATTAATCAACATAAATAGAAACAAAACCCTCCACCAAATCAACCAATCGGTATATACAGCCAGAGAAATTCGATCAATAATGGAAATTGTCTGAAAAGGGATATAAAAAAGTAAAACTTATTTTTCATACCCCCTCTATCTCTAATTTCACTTCAATTAACTTAAAGTCGAATAACTTTCACGTTAAACTTGTTTTTTGTCTAAAACTTATCTGTAATAATGGCATGTTTACTCACTTTTATGTCAAAGATAAGCAAAACACACGGAAAAGAATTTAGATAAATTAGGTGAAATGCTTATATATAATTAAGTTTAAAGCTTTGGACAGAAGTTTTTACAGTAAAAATGCACAAAGGGTCATATTAGTTTATTATTATTGCTAATATATAACCAATATTTTTCATAAGTGTAAATAAGAAATACTTCTGCTAATTTAATTAGATTAGTTTGTCGTTGAGTTCTGGCTTCCAAATAATGTCAAATGAAGAAATAGAGTTGAAAGTTAATTTTCTCCACGCTTCATTCAAAACCTGTTTATATCTTTTTTATTTGAAACAAAATGTTTGATCAAAGTTTTAGCTGTCTAGCTGGTGAGTTGCTATTTAATAATATCAAGGTAGTTTCCATCTGCTTTGCTATGTGGAAAGCCAAACTGGTTTATCAACATCTTTTGGTTTGTGAATGTCTTTGAGCTTTGATTGATTTTAGGTTCTTCCTGATCATTCCTACTTTTTTTTTTTTTGTTCAGTGTACCCTGCAAGAACAGTTTAGAAATAAGTAAATAAGTTCATTTGCCAATGGAAATAGTATTTTTACTCTTAAAATAAGATAATCAGATAATATGCACTTGAAATAAGTCAATGCAATTGTTTTTTTCTTATTATAAATGTAAATTAAAATTACCCCCTCAATTCAAGACATAACACAAGTATTTTAAGTAAAAATACTTATTGAGATTTAAATTTTTTGCAGTGCAAGTGGAAGCTTTGGTTAGATTAGTGAGCCTTAATGATACATTGGTTAATATTATTTGGTAGTGTCTGGATAAGCCTTTAAATAAAGGAACACTTATCACTTATAAGGCATGGTGGTGGTAGCTAGTATGGTGCATGGGAGAAGTGAAAAAGCACTGAAATCTGCTGCTGTTATGTTACAGTTTTTTTCTTTTTTTATTTCTTTTTTTCTTGCACACAACCAAACCCCCAAGTGTTAGTGCAGGAATAGAAGAAGGAATTTAATTACCTGTTAACCATCTCTTTATTGTAAAACTTTGATGAACCTGGAGATGCTCCATTATCAAGTTGAGCTGTATCAAGTAAAAAACAAGACCATGTTTAAGTTTACCTTTAATTTTTATAATTGTATGCTATTTTTTTTTTATCTCTTCCCAGCTTTAGTCTGCTTTCTGCTAAGTGCTTTAGGAGTTACAGCAGGAGCTCATCGTTTGTGGAGTCACAGGGCCTACAAGGCGTCTCTACCTCTGAGGATCTTTCTTGCTCTTAGTAATTCCATGGCCTTTCAGGTGAGTAAAAAAAATAGATCAACACATCATGGTTGATATCATGATTGTGACAAACATTGTCCTTTATTAAAACCTTAGAACGACATCTTTGAGTGGGCTCGAGACCACCGGGTTCATCACAAATACTCCGAGACGGACGCAGACCCCCACAATGCCGGAAGGGGCTTCTTCTTCTCTCACATCGGCTGGCTGCTGGTCCGAAAACATCCTGACGTCATCGAGAAGGGCCGCAAGCTGGAGCTCAGTGACCTGCTTGCTGACAAAGTTGTGATGTTTCAGAGAAGGCAAGTGGTGTGAAAGTAGGAGGTCTGGAATGATCCCCACAAAAATGATTTATACATTTTAGAACAATATTTGGTTTTAGGCTGACATTTTCACCCAGTCTGTGCAGAAAAGCTCAAGCTGAGCCAAACTAGTGGCAGAGTCACCAGTTTTTAAGTCTTTCTGCAGGTCCTTCAGTCTTGACTTTGACTGGACCATTCTGATACACGTCACAGCAGCTCTTTAATAACTTAAAATCGATATAAAAATAACCTGTGTTGGAACAATAATAACATTCTAATTGGGATTTGTGTTTGTGAGCATAGTTGTTCTGCTAACCTTTTTCCCTCAAATTTATGTAGCAATAAGCAGTTACATTTGTTCAAAAATGCAATTACTACAGCAGTTTAACAAATTTGCTAATGGTTATATCATACCATTGAAATATCTTTAGGTAGGTTGTGTCATGAGCTAATGCAAAAAATGAAGGTTTATTAATAATATTCATGTTCCAATGTACTTTAGAGGGTAAACAAAGCAACACTTATTAATTTAAAGGCCATTAAATAAATGTCTCAGTAGAATTAAGGTCTGCAGATGAATCTAAAGCTCAGATAATAGAGAAAGTAGTTTGTATGTTTCTTACAGTTTCCCAAATCCTCTTCATCTCAACAGGCACTACAAGCTCTCTGTGCTGCTAATGTGCTTCTTCATCCCGATGTTTGTGCCTTGGTACTTCTGGGGCGAGTCGCTTTGGGTGGCCTACTTCATCCCGGCCCTGCTGCGGTACACCTTGGTGCTGAACGCCACCTGGCTCGTCAACAGCGCGGCACACATGTGGGGAAACAGGCCATACGACAGGAACATCAACCCTAGAGAGAACAGATTCGTCACTTTCAGCGCCATAGGTACAAAAAAAAAAAAAAAAAAAAAAAAAAAACACTCAAAAACATTTTTGTTTAATTTTACAGAATTTAATTAGCTACTAGTAGACCAAGTGTTTGGATTATTTAATTTAAATTTAAATAAGGGAATTAGTGAACCTAAATTTAAACATTTATTTAAATAACTACCATCTAGGAAGGGTTATTGTTTTATGTGATTCATTATTACACAAATATGTTATATGAAAAAATCATCTGGATTTAAGTACAGAGTCGCTTTAAGATTTAGTGCAGTGGAAGGAAAAAACTTGTTGCAGCTTGCAGACAGACACCTGCACCTGTTCTGATATTTCTTGCAGATTAATTTGAAATTCTGTGATAGAGCCAGGTGCATCTTTTAGAAGACGCGTTTTAGATATCTGAACCTTTAATATAACATTTCAAATTTAACATATTACAACCACAAACTTCAATGAGTTTTTCCTGGATTTTATGTCACACCAACACAAATTAGTACAAGCCCAGTCAAAGTTCAGACTCGATGCCAACAGATGGTCCAATCTGCTTGTGCATGAAAGAAATGGGCTAAAACCCCAAAACTTTAAGCTGTGTTTGCAGCTAACTGCATTTCTGAAATATAAATGAACACCACACTTTTCAGATTTGTTTCATGTGTAAAACACAATTTGCGTCGTATTATATTCCACTTTATTACAGCGCAACAGTTTGTACAGGCTGATCACAAAATCGATACACATTTTGAAATGTGAACGGTTCAAGAGTCCTTAAATATTTTGATAGACTTCATACCTAAAAGATTTTTTTTTTTTACGAAAGCAGAAACGTGCAGGTGCCTGTTAGCAACTCTGCATCTGATTGTTGCTGGTTTCTGAACATTTTTTAAGATTTCATTTTTTTTCTTTTTCTGCTTCAGTGTTGAAAATCAAATTTAACCAATCTGTATTTCCAGTTTCCACACTGTCCTCCCACTATCCTCACAGAGGCATGCACACACATGACTGCATTTGTTGTTGCAAAGGAAAATAAATAAATCGGTGGCAGCCAGGTCCCCCCCCCTCCCCTCCCGGCCGGTGTTGATTTGTGCGTCAAATGTGAGGAGGTCGAAAATGACTTGATTTCCAGTTTCGACTTCCCTGGGTGGGGGGTGCACCGAACGTTGTGGAAATACTGCAGGGGGGCTGGTTAATGATCCAGGATTCAGGTAAGTAAAGATCAAAGCGATGATGAGGCGGAGAAGAATTAGACAAGTTCGGCGCTGCAAATTTTTGAGCAACATGGGAATAAGTGAAGAAGAAGAAGAAGTCAAGCAGGCTGAAGAGAAGCTGACAATGTTCCCATATTTAAATGCCTAAAGAAAGGGAGTGCATTTTTTATTAGGTGCCATAAAAACCCTTGTGTAGCTTGTCAAAGAGCAAATAGTTTGAACATCTTAAGATTTACTAATTCAAATATCAGAAATCTTTAAATTCCTCTCTTCTAATCCTTGCTTTAATATTTAAACTAAAACAAAGCTTTCTGTTTCTCTGACTCGTCCAGGTGAGGGATTTCACAACTACCACCACACTTTCCCCTACGACTATGCCACCAGCGAGTACGGCTGCAAGCTGAACCTCACCACCTGCTTCATCGACTTCATGTGCTTTCTGGGCCTGGCTAAGGATCGCAAGAGGGTGTCCCGTGAGGTTGTCCAGTCTCGGATACAGCGCACCGGAGACGGAAGTCACCGCAGTGGCTAAAAAAAACAAAACCCAAACAAACAAAATTAAAATACCCAAAAGACGTTGTCCTGTTCTAAAGAAGATGATTACCAATGCTCTGACAGCTGCTCATTTGCTCATCCTTTGAGGTTTAAAGTCTGCGTCACAAGGGCCTTCATCGCATTTAGTTCGTTCTTTGTGGGGTTTCTGTAGCTGTAGCCATAAAAACTGTTAATGAAAAGAAAAAAACTTCTAAAATTTGAGACGTTTATTTGTTACTTGAAAATTATTTCAACGTTTTCATTGAGTAAAAAAAAAAATCAACTATACTTTGCAGTTATGCTACCAGCTGTTGATCTGATCCGTTGCTGTTTAATTGATTCAATGCAGATGTGAAACTTTATTGCACTTGATAGCATTTTTTAAAATAACGCTATTATTAATATCACCTTTAGGACCTTTGAACATTTCACCAAAAATATTTTCATTCGATGCTTGTCGGCTGTATTGAAAGTTAAAATGTAATCAGTCAGCATTAATGTGTATTCCAGTTGCCTTCTGCCGCGAAACAAAGCTAAATTTACAGGAAATTTGAAGCACTTGGGGAAAAAAAACAATTTGTACCGCTTTTATCTTTTAATGGAATTAGATACGGTGATAAAATACGATAAAAGGACATTTATGATGAAATTCATAATGCTTTCTGTTCTGATGGCCACATTTCAATTTTCTAGATTTTGCCAAAAGTGTTCCTATCAGCCATTTCAAGGTGACGGTAAAATGTCTGTTGGGTGTGAAGGCCGAGCTCTTATTGGTTGCTATGGAAACCAGTCAGACCACAGATCTGGTGTCAGAAAAATAAAATCCATACCAGCTCCTTTGCATGACATATACTGTAGTAGGTGTCGTGGTAAGGTGACGTGTCAGTGGCTGTCATGGCAGAACCGGTCTTAATTGTCACTGTTGTATCTTCAGAACTGTTGTCATGGTGATAAACGGGGTATGGAAAGAGGGAGTATTTTTTTTTTTTTATTGTAGGTGCATTAATGTTAGCGTTTATCTGCTATAACAGTCTATAATGCTTCTGTTATTTATGTATTGTTGTATTATTTCTCAATTTTTGGCCTAAATATTCTAACGTGATGTTTTTTGGGGGTTTTTATTCCTCGATTTGAGAGAAAGTCTTGTCTTATATGTGAAATATATCAAACTGCAGCGCCTGGGTATCTCTTTCAAAAACAGTCAGAATACAGTACCTTGCAAAAGTAACACGTTGTTACATTACTGCCACTAGCTTTAACAAATCTTATTGGGATTTTTTGAAGTACTACAACAATGGTGAACATAAATGTGGAGGCACAGTGAAAGGAATATAATAGTTTATTTGTTGCTTTACTGAAAAAAAAATGTTCCAAGTTTACATCCATTAAGTCCCCTTTATGTATAAGTAGTCTTTTGGGATTAGTCTCTACCAGCTCTACTGTTATATATACTTTCATATTTGCAGTGTTCAGTGGTACGCAGACCTCCACTTTGACTAAGCCATCTCACAAATGATTTGTTTTAAACTATTAGATTAGTTGTGTTGCTGAACGGGGAAACTGCCCCCATTTCAAATCCAAAACAGAATTTTTTCCAGGAAGAGCCTGTATTTAGAAGCTACATCCATTTTCACGCAATGCACTCCCACAGCATGCTGCTGCCACCACCATGTTTTATGGTGAGAATGGGGTTAAGGTTGTAAGTTTCCTCCCCATGTACTTAGGCAAACCTTAAATGGGATATTTTATGTTTTGATTTTTGCTTTGCTACTCTTCCATAGATTCCAGGTTAATGTGCAACATTTTCTTCACATTTATGTACTACTTTGTTTTGACGTAATCAAATATCTCATTTTTATACATCAAATGTCGCAGGTATGATGTAACAATTTGCAAATGTTCTTGCTGAATTAATACTTTTCATGGTACTGTGCCTCCGTAATGCCTTATGAAAAGCATCCATTTCTTCACATTCCAGTACCGGTAGTTAAGACTGCAAGGTTAAAAAAAAAAAATGAGAAAAAAAAAAGTGTAGATGTGTTTTAAATTCATTCATGGACAAATCTAGGCATGAAAGCTGGGGGGTGAAGGGTTTGTTGGCATCAGATAAAAATGGTGCAAATGTTAATTTGTGAGACTTCTTTTGCAAAGTAAGGGGATGGGAATAATTGTTGAAATGAAGAATGTCACACAGTAACACTCAGCTGTCCAGAGCCAACATAATTAGCATTTTTGTAACAACGTAGGGATCAAAAATGCTTTCAGTTTGTGAAATGTTTGCTATCCTGAAATAAAATTCACAATATTTTCAACACTTGGAATCTAATATAGTTTCTTATTTTTGTTTCAAAAACACTTTCATTTGCACCTTGTTTCTTCAGATTATATTGAATTAACAGCAAAAGGAATATTAAAAGATCTAAAACAGATCAAACTTAAGATTTTGTTTTCCAATATATATGAGCTGAATTAGTGTTACATGTCGTTTAATATGTTTGCGTAAACAATAAAACATAACTTATAGGTCCATCTACAAGTGTAAAGGCTTTGCAGGGTTAAATGAAAAATTCACAATTACTTTCTTAAAATGCTTATCTGTGGTTACATTTTCACTAAACGGTAGATTTGCAGACATCTAGTTAAAACACCAGGTTTCATGTGAAATTTGTGTAAAACAAAAAATTATAGGCAAATCTGTGTATATTACCTGTGAGACTGAGAGTTGAGTCAGCACAAAAATAACTGGGCCACCTCTGGCTGTCATATTGAGTGCTTTCATTTAGTTAAATAAGTTCAATGACCATAAAAATGAATTGGATGCATTGGTTGTCAGGTCAACCTGCAGGTCCAGCTTTCATCTGTTTCTTTAACACATACAGTGTTTTGGCTTTTTGGAGATAAACTAACGGCCGGTCAGTGCAGTCTGTTTACTCAAGGACTGTTTTTTTTTCTTCGTTATCCTAGGTGTTCCCACGGAAACAATTTGCTGTGAGGTAAAGTATAATAAGGTAGCCCATCCCTGCCAGGGCAGAGCAGGCTGAGCTAGACATGGGCTTGATGTTTTCTCTGTCGTCATTATTGCAAGAATTAATACTTAATGAGCAACTATGAATATTTTTACCAATCTATTTTATTAACTAAATTTATTCAGGTGCATATTTAATTTCCATTTACAATTTCTAGTTTAAATAGCAGAAAATAGTTGATTCTAGTTCAAATATAAAAGAAACTTTTGGATTTAATTGAATTTCAACATTGCAATAGAAACAAAACAGTTTTCATGCTCACCTTTTTACTGACAGTGTTATCTTGCTCTGGCAAATTACTGCCATTTACTTTGTCATTTACATCAGTCCACGTTATAATTTATATGTTGATGTGCTCAGCTAAATAGCAATAGTTTCCTTTTAGCCATCTATGTTAAAAAGGAAAAAAAAAACCTTAAACAGAGGAGGTGGATTAAGGTTTCTGCTTTCAAAAACCTAAAATACAGCAATTGAGTTAATCCCTTCCCGTTATCATCGCAGCCCAAGTCCTTGTACTGGAGAGCCGAGGACCTCGCCTATTCAGCCAGGCCAACAATTCCCATTAACGACCCCTCTTTCAGACACTTAGATGGGTACAGGGCATTGCTTTATGGCTTCGTCCGTTTCAGTTTGCAAGTTTTAAAAACAAAAACAAGGCCTTGTTGGGCTATTGTATAAAACAGCAAACTCCACACTATTCCTGACATTTTCAATTGAAAAAGCTTTTTGGAAGGGAAACAAAACATCTTGAAACTTGAAAACAAAGTCCAGCGGATTGTTTTTAATTTTGTTTTTTTCGAAAGACTGACCTGGATGACTGAGACTCATCACCAGCATCTTCGTTTAGCTTTTTTTTTTTTTTTTTTTCTTTTTTTTTTTTTTTTTTCATGAAGCGCAACCTTTCTTTAATCAATGTGTAATTCAAGAGTGTTATATAATTTGACTTATTTTAAATTAAAATGTTTTATCAAATTATAATTAGACCTTAAGTAAAACTGATAAATCCAGCTGTGACAAATTAGATTTTTCCCTTTCAAAATAACATTTAGCAGATGAAAACCTTTATCCTATCTTGATACGGCTTTTTAAATCCAAATTAAACCCGAACTGCAAAGAAAATATTAAAATGGTCTCCTATGCTGTGTCCGAATGTCCGCCCAAATCACTATACAGGGCACTATATAGTGGTTATGGCATCTTAAATGAGTGTCCCAAATGTCCAGTGGATGAAAAAGTAGCGGAACTGAAATTTCCCACAATGCACCTTGAACAGTAGTGAACATTCATGGTGAGCAGATATATCCCAGAATGCTTTGCCAGGACAGCTCTCCTTATATCTCTGATATAAGATGGAGCTTGGCCATTTAAGGCTTTATATGTGAGGAGGATTTTAAATTCTATTCTTGATTTAACATGTTTTATGTTGATTTACTTATATTTCAGTATTATGTCTTCAGTTTAGAGCCAGAACCAGTTCTACTGGCCCCTTTTGGCCACTATCTAGAACCGCCCATAGTTGTACCAACAGTCATGTTTTTGTATTGTGAGATGCAAACATGCAAACAATTTGAACACTCACAGTAACATTGCTACCAATTGCACATACTCTCATTGTAGTTTTTTTTTTTTTAGAGTGTATGTAGTTCCAATGACCAGCATCTCACATAAAAACTGTAAGCAGAGGGAAGCAGGGAAGCAAGTGGAAATGACAGTGGAAAACTTATTAAATAAACCAATAAATAAAATGATCATATAAATATAAGGGCAGTGCATATCCACAGAGGTCCATGCAGAGATTTCACAGACTCCAGAAAAGTAACAGGACAGAAGTGTTATAATTAGTCAGCACATTTCTCCCACATGACAAACTGAGCCAACCCGTATGATCCTGCTCGCATCCGTGGTGTGATGTGTGGTGAGGTCTAATCAGGAGCCTTTAAAAAGGTGTCAAAGTTTACTAAAGTTCAACCCTCCAAAATAATCCGCGTCGTCTCATCATCGCGCCACGCGGGTCGCGGCATCCGACTGAACGCGACCAATCAGCATCCAGATTCGGACTTCTGATCCTCCTGGTCCAATAGGAGCAGAGCGCTCCAAACAGCTGTGATGACTTGAAATTTATTATGGACGTTTGGCAGCCGCAGGATGAATGAATCGCTGCTGAAATACTTGGCATGAACCTGGAGACAGTTTACAGACCTCCTTAATAGATAGATACAGATGATGCATGTAACGTTTACAGGGCTGCCAACTTTTAAGCAAACCTTGGGGTGAGATTTTGAAATAGTTTAGACATGCAACCCTGTCACGGTTAGATAAGGACAGGTGCGACTATAGGTTGGAGGTTTTCACAGGATTTAACTGAAACAAAGTGGCAAAATGTGGGATTTTTATACCACAGTAAATATGTGGAACTTTTTTCTCACAATATACATTATTTTCTACATTCTGGTGATTTTTAGAGAACTGAAGTAAAGCAGAATGGGCCCTACTAAAATACTTGCATCTTAAATATACTGTAAACTAAGAATTTAACAACTTTCCTTATTAATTATTCTCTGCAGTTCAAGTAAGTTAAACAACTAGCCACTAATAAACTATTACTGGATTACTGGCACTGAAACAGGAACCAATGCAATCGAAACCTATGCAAAGTGTGTATGAATATTTGGTAATAGGCTGAGGATTAAAAAGCTTTATTCATTATGTTATTAGTTTTTCTTACAGTTGACAAAAAAGCTAAACAATTCAGGTTTTTCTATAGGAGGCTGTAGATTTCATTAAAACTCACCATGACAGAAGATGGCACTTCTCTGGATGTTTCAGTCTGGAAAATGTGATGGAAATTAAGTTTTTAAACATATTTAATGTACCAAAATAAAGATAAATGAATAAGATAAGTAATAATAAAAGAAGATCATCCCTGTGGTTTCTCCTCTATGAATCCAGGATAAATGAGCTGTTCTGCACATCCTCTCTGAGTGTAGTTTGCCTTTTCTTGGGTGGCTGATCTTTTGAAAAAGAAAATGCAATGATTCTTTTTCTTTTTGTGGAGCGTTTGAGAGGCAAACCTGGAAGCTTTAAGAATTAAAATATGTTTGTTGGTTTAATTACTCCTAAATTCCAACGGGAGATATTAAACTAGACTGAGTTGAGTTTTCATGTCTGTCATTTTTTAGTGTGAGAAATTGGGAATATGGAGTAAGAGTGTGTGAAGACTCTGAGATTGGTGAGTCTCACTCCCAATGGGTGAGAGATGGCAGCCCTGCGTTTCTGTTTAACAGAGAGTTAATGTTGTGAACATAAAAATTAAATGATGAACCTTTGATTAATACATTTCTCCCCAAAAAAGTCTATTTGAAACCAAGTTGTCCAATTCCATTTTTAGGCCAGATAGTTTACATTTAATTAGCCTACAGATTATCAAAAATGTAGTCTACAGAAAAGATAATAAGCCCACTGAATGACTATCACTGCAAAAACGATGTGGAAATAGCAAAAAAAAAAATGCAAAAATTAAGAAAAAATGACTTATTTAAATTTACAGTTTTTGTAGTGTAGCAGAGATGCTTTTTTTTTTAAAGAAAAAAATCTTAAAATGATTGTTTAAAATGCTCAAGTGTGGTTCCAATATCAGCAGTTAACATCTTAATTACCGTATTATGACCTTTTAAATCTGTTTCATATTTGATCCGAATGGTATTTATATAAAATACTCAGAATTTTCTATTAAGTCGGGAAGAGAAAGTTGAATTTGGAGCATCACCCATTTAACAACTTCCGCATAAAATAAAAAAAAGAAGAAACAATCGCTTAAATCTCTGTTGTATTTTTTCTTTTTATTCTGCTAATATAACCTATTCAATTAGTACTGCTTGTCTAGATTTAAACTAAATAAAGATGTAAATGAGGTAAATCCTCCTGGTAGAACATTGCCTTCTTATTGAATGCCTCTCTAAAATGCTGATTTCCTTTTTTAGTTCATTACACGATCATTGTATAAAGCTATATCTCCTTTTAAAGCCAGCAAAGCAAAAGCTGTGTGTGGTGCGTAAAATCAAGGATGAAAGTATTTTCTTCTTCAGCATCTTTCGTTTAATACTGCTTTGCATCCCGAGTTTCATCCACTGGACTTGGTTTCCAAGATTCAAATCTTGGAAACTAAGTCCAGTGGATTTTTTGAACTTTTACGGACCAAACCTGGATGACTGAGAATCTTCATCAGCACTGCTTTGCATTGTTTTAAAATTTTAGGTAGAGGTATTTTAGGTAGGTGCCAGTTCTGTTTGATGGTCTGATCATTTTGTGTGTTCATTGGCAGTAGCATCAGAGCACATTTCTCTAATGTGATTTCACTGTCCTTTATAAAATATAGTTGCTGTTAGAGGATGCACTGTAGGCTGATAATGTTCATAGATTTAAAAAATATATTTTCAGATTCTTACATTCTCTATAATTTTAAATTTTAATGAATTTCTTATATAGGTTCTTGCACATGGTCAAAAATAAAAAAAATTTTATAATTGAAGACTTTACATATTTTAAGTGGAACTTTATTTCAAAAAGAGATATCGAAATGAGGAAAGTAAGCAACATGGATTGTATAAATATCTGTGCAACTAAAACAGGCACAGTGAGGCACTTTCCTGCCTTCTGCTGCCCTCCCCCTCAAAAAAACCCAAATCTGTTTATTATAAGCAGCTACAAAACTAAGAACATCATCTGCAGTCTTTCAATTTGCTTACATGTTATCATTCCATTCAACACAAGATTAAAAATTGATGTTACAAAATGAAACATAGCTGTCAACATGGAGTAAGAGGACCTGAAACAGTGGGACAGGCTCATTTATTTGCAGTTCAAACAGAAAATATTCTAAGTTTTGTTCTAGAAGCTGCTATTTAAAGTTATCTGAGGGTAAATAGAGGAAAGCATGCACAGCAAAGCAAATATGAGGGCAAAATGGGAAGAAAAAAAAATTCACACTAGCTAATGTTGAATCTTACTGAAACTAAAAATAAAATCTACTTATTAGACAAAACATTCTTCAGTGCTTTGGCCCAGAATCTCCCTGCACCATAATTACAGAACAATCAAAAATTTAATGACGGAGTTCACAAAATGCCTGTAATGCAGCTCGTTTTTAAAAAGGGGCACACATTGTGTAGTCGTAGTCCTCCCTCACCGAGTGCAGAGGGTGGATTGTGAGGATGACCCAGATTTTATTCATAATTTATGAAAATGTGAGCCCTGAATGTTTTGTTGTTGCAGCTGGAGTGTTGCATGTCTGTTAAGCTGTTGGAACATCTGCCAGCGCTTTAAAGAAAAATACACACTGCAGCACTATGTAACGTGTTTTATGAAAATGCACCTACTTTTTAAACAACCGGTTTCATGTATCACATCACTATTTGAATTTACACCGAGCCACTTTCTGAATACATTCATCTTCTGGCAAAGATAAGCACAGCAACATCAACAGATACCCATAAAACTCCACCTTTCTGCTTCAAACACACTCATCCTCTGTGAGGAACCATCAGAACCAGGTTCTGTAACGGCATCAGCCACTATTCTCATGGCTGACACCTCGTCGGCTCTTAAAGGAAAATAAATACGTATACAACATCATGGTAACACTGAAGAGTGGTTGGTGTTGTCTGCAGGTTTTAAACGCCCAGCTTGTTGGCGATGGTCATGAGCACTTTGAGGATGGGCATGAAGGCAGAGATCTCGCTGAAGTTGCTGCTGCTGACCACCTGAGTGTGGACCTCCAGGCCCCGCTGGTAGTTCTGGCTCGCTACGCAGCGACTGATCTCATGGAGTCCGCCCAGGATATTGTGAGAGAGCTAAAAAGGAAGGCAGTGTTTGCTTAGTTGTTTTTCATATCAAATTCAAGCTCTGAGTTTTTCTTTAAAAAGATTCCTATTTTACCAAGACTCAAATGACTTTGAGAATAAAGCTAAATTTTAACTGTAAATTTACAGAGTGTATTTTCTATGAAAAAGATAGATGGGTGTATTCAAAGACAGAATCAACAGATTATAACTGGGTGAAGCTAATGATAGGCGATTCTCAGAGAGCTGGAAGTTATTTTTTCAAAATAAAAAATTAAGGGAGCATGATGTAGAACAACTGTAAAAGTGAAAAAGGTGCATCTGTCCCACATTGTCCCTCATAAGCAATAAGCATCCTAGTTACCATATTAAATTTCTTTCTTTTGCAGATCTGTTCACCCTTTAACATACCTATATACAACAAAAATTCCTTACCCATGTAACGAAATTTCTCAGGTCAGAAACATGTTGCTTTACAGTGTTTGGTGATAAATACGTGGGTAAGCCGCATGGTTGACGTCACGTGCCGTAAATGCATGTGGTGTATTTCCTCCTTTAGCTTTATATGCCCTATAGTGCAAGGACACTAATAAATGTCTAAATCTTTTAGCCCTGCTGATCTTTTTATGTCAGTTTCGAAAAGGCTAATTTTAAACAAATGTTATCATGCATGCAAATGTTATTTCTCAGTCCCAAGCTTTAACTATGAGAATAAGTCATTAAAAAAAAAAATGCTACAGAAAATAAACTTCTGACATGTATCTTAAGTTCCGTTTGCTTTTTTCAATGAAAATTAGGAAGAAATATCATCGTCAATATCACGTGACGAAATGTTAATGATGTTTTTGTGACAGGAACTAAAATAAAATATATAATATTTATGGACAAATAAAAACAAGGCTAAATGTAGTTCACAAAAAAAAACTCTGCCAAAATCTCTCTTAATTTTTATTAACTAAAATGAGACAACAGGAAATAAGTTTCTAATGTTTATTCACGTTATATTTTTCTGTTTGCCTCACCAGTACGTCACACTGCTCAGAACGCCATTCTCTCAATCCCCTTTCTGAACTCACGCCATTATTCAGATGCAGTGGGGCAGATGAGTTTGAGTGAGTTGGATGTCTGGACAAACTTTAATTACAACCAAGTGGAAAACTAAACAGAATGTGTCGTGGAATAAGATGAGGACAAATGCGGCTGTAAAATAACCATGAATCTTAAAAGATCGTAAGATCTTCCATTATGAAATCGCGGTACGTTTACATTAACGTAACTTTCTTTTTTACTCAGACCAGCCTCGTGTTTGTGTGGGTGTGTGAAAAACATGCGGTGCATACAGGTACTTATGGGGACATTCAACTGATCCCCATAAGGTAAAGTTCTCTTCTTAGGGTTGGGTGCAGGTAAAGGACTAAGGTGTAGTTCAGTTTGGGCTGGGATTATGATAGTAATGGTTAGGTGAAGGGTTTAGGTTAGGCCGTATAAAATGAACGTAAGTCAATGAAATGTCCCCATAAATCCTGTAAACAAACTTGCTTCTATGTGTGTGCGAGAGAAACTATATTATTTTCCTGCATTGACAGCAAAACACATGGACATATGTAAATTAGCTCTAACTGGGCGCTGATTAGTTAAATGAGTTTGACTAGAAGAAGAATCTGGTTTCATCTATAATATACCTGGAAATTACAATATATTAATTGCATAACATAAAACAATTAAAAGTATGACTAAAACTAGACTAAAATGTCTGCAGTTTTCATTAACGAAAACTAGACTAAAATAGTTATGAGTTACTCTGACTAAAAAAGACAAAAATCCTTAAGTTTTCATTGACTTTAACTTAAATAAACAAAAGAGTTTCAATGTGAATAAAAGTGCTAAAAACTAAAATGACAGTTTGACACAAAGCATAGACTAAAAAACAACATTAGTGCCATTGCCATGGATGCAGTCTGATCGGCTTCAGTTAGTCTACGTCTCGCCTCTGGGAACATATTGATCACCTCAGACTGCCTGCTGACCTGGTTCTCTGAGCTGTGGAGCATCGGTTAGAAAATACGACCCTATGCTGCTCTCATTACCATTTACTCTGTTTAAACACAAATTAAATCCTTACCGACTGCTCTCTCAGCTTATCGTACAGGTTTCCCAAACGCTTTCCAGCATCATCAAGCTTCCGTTTTGTTTGCTGAAAAAGATTGACATGTTTTACCGCATAATATCCATTCATCCTCGCAGAGAACGCAGGCTACAAACTGATTATAAAAAACACTAGAACCAGGACACTGCCACATGCGGAGGACTTACAGGATCTCCTGCTGCCAGCTGGCAACGCTGAACTAAGCTATCAAAGGTGGTTTTCAGGACCATGTGTTCCGCTGGGATTTCCTTCTGTTCCACTCTTTCTGCTGGCAGCTGCTGGAGGAGCTGAGTGACAAATGTACACAAAAAAGAAGCTGATGACATTTTTGCAGAGCAGATAAGAGAGAATTCAGAAAAAGCCTCCATTGTTATGAAACAAACCTGCACACTGGGCTCCTGAGGGGCTCCAGGGGGGACCTGGGTGTGGTTCTGCGGCTGTGGAGCCTCCACTGGGAAACCCATTACAGGAGCAGTGATTGGGGCTGGTGGAGTGTAGTTGTCAGGGACCTGTAATCCACATTAAAAGTGTACATTTAAAACATACAAAATATATCTTCGGGTTAACTTTTCTGCTGCAATAAAAGGGTACATTTAATGCAGAGTTATAACCTTGTTATACATCAAGATAAGGGCTGCAACTAATGATTATTTTGCAAATAGATTATTCTGTCGATTTGAGACGTTGTGACACAGTAGATTGAAACTTGGTTTAAAATCCCAATTTTTGTGCCGCAAACAAAATAATTTCAAAAGTCTTTCATATCTTTATGTCAACTAAGGAACAAACAAAAAAACAAAACATGATATAAACAGGCAAACACAGAAAACGCTGCATAAGGCCTGGGTTCATAAGTGTGCACACCTTTGAACAAACACTGGTGCCAATTTAATTTAACACACTGAATCTGATTAACTTCAAATAAAGTTCAGTTCATTTGCATCCCACAGATAAAGAGCAAGGAGAAGAGTTGAAACAAGTATTACATTCTCACTACATTAGTCATTATTACCATACTCCTGGTCCACATAGACCCGTTTGTTAGTTGTTGTCTGTTGTGTTGACTTAAAAAAATCAAATCAGCAAACAACAAAAAACTATTTTCATACCAGTTTTTCCACCAAGTCGACTGGTAGAGCAGTGCACTGGCTAAAGGGTGCGGCACATTATAACATGACTGATCTGGCAGCTTTCCAGGTGACACACAACTTATACATCAAGTTCCACATGAGTGCCTAAGATGTCTTGACATGTGAATTACAAAACTTCCATTACTGGACGTGGATTTCCTTCTGATAAAGTTATTGTGTTGTTAATTTATTTTGACACCTTCATGTAGTTTTCTGGAGAAGAAATGCAACCATTTGAAAACTTTTTCGTAATCGCACATTTTAAAATCAAATCACTCCATTATTAAATACTGGTCATAATCCTGGTTATAAACTATTTTACCAAAATAGACACAAGGTCAGCCACTCCCTTTGGAACTACAAAGTGAGTGGTTGGAGCAGCAAAGCTTAGCCAAAATCTATATGGAAAAGAAAAGCCATTAAGAGAACGCTCAGGGTCCAAAAGGTTCACGGAAAGACTAAATGGAAAGTGTAAGGTAAAAAGAGGTATTTTTATTATTTAGTATATTCAGTTTGCAACTAAATCTGAGAGAAAATGTCGGTCTCCTAAAGTTAGCCGGGAATAAAACGATTAAAAGAATTTCTGCAAGTTTAAATGGACAAAAACTGTAAATTAAAGCCTGAAAAGTGTTTCAGCTGTTACACCCAAATACGTCATTTTTAATTTTTCCCTTTAACAAATTTGCACAAAATGTTTACATTAAAACCTGACATTTCAGAGTGCAATATCTGGTATTTTCAGGTTCAAAGCAAATCCTACATCAGATAAACTGTCATTACTTATCTCATAACAGTCACACTTAAGTGCTTACAGATGTGCCTGAAAACCTAAATCTAAACCCTCAAAAGATCCATCAGCTTTATTTATAAACACGAACATGAAGTTCTTTACTTCCTTATGACATTACTAAGAAAAAACCCCGTAATAAATACCTTCTTCTTTCTGGGTCCACCGCGTACCGTTGGTGGGTCATTCCAGCCTTCTTGTGGTCCTATGATAAAACGATTAGGAGATTAGCTAAAACATATTTAAAAAAAAAAAGTTTTAGCCAGAAGCAGGCAAACAAATATGCATATATATAAAGCTTCCTTCACTCATATTTAAAATGTTTAAAGTGAATATGTGAATACACCAGTCAGACAACTAACTGCTGTACTGGCTTGTCCACAGGTTTGTCTGCTGGTGAGATAAGGCGAAAAACAAATGTACTGCGTTTATGTAAAGAACTTGTATCCCCATTAACTTTTCCTAATTATAAATAAAAAAAAGTTCAAATAAAAGCAGAAAAAGGTGCAGAATATGACAGATCTCTCAGGATTTTCCTTAACTGAGTCCCATCCACCTTCCACCCAACTCTAAGCAGCTAATCTGTCCCTGTCGAACACCATCATCACAGCATTTTATTTTATTTTACCTTTATTTTACCAGGAAGTCCCTTGAGATAAAATCTATTTTTCGAGGGAGACCTGGCCAAGAGGCAGCAGTACAATAAGACATATAAAAACACATAAAAATAACATAATAAAATCAATCATAAACCCTATGATGCTGCTGCCACCATGCTGCCATTTTACTTCATGACCTACATTCATGGCCCTAAAAGTGGAACATTGCTTACTGTTGGACTAACATTAAACCCCAAATTAATACATTTAAGTGTGTATCTAAAATGTTTCAAAATGTGGAAGAAAAAAGAAAATCAAAATTATTTTCAGGCACTGTAGTAGCCACATCAACTCCCAACATTTTAACCTGGCAGATAAGCTTTCTGAGTCCCTTTTACTGGAATCGTTTTATCCTTTGGATTCACCAATTATCGCCTGACAAAGTGAAAGCATCATCTCAACCTGACTCTTTAGATTTCATGTGTGACCTATGCACCAAGGTTAGTCTACATAGCAACACACTGCAAGTCAAAACAACTTTTTTTCAGCACTCAGATTATCAGCGTTTATGCAAATCCAAACAGTTAAATAAGCCAAGATTCATCGGAAGCTTCCAGAACCTGTGATATGGTTTGATACTGGTACCCTGCAAAGGTAACAATATCAAAGTGAAGGTTAGAATACAAGCACTACATATGTTTAAGGTCAACAAATAACTGATTAAAATGTATTGACATAATATATCTACCCTTTCATTTTATAATTTATATCTCACTAAGGAAAAAACTACTAATAGCTAGAGATACACTTCAAAAATATTACACATTTCAAACAACTATTAGTACCCTTAAATAATACTTTGGTCAGAAGCTCTATCAAATTTTTTTTCGACTTGTGAACACACATCTAAGCACCATCAGGTCACAGTAATAACACTTTAGATGCAGTTACTGAATGAAAACTCACTGTTACCTACATTAAGTATCAGTGAAGAGAGATGGAGCACACAGGTGTAAGAATACACCTAAAAGGAAACTACATTCTGTGTAAAGTCAAGAGATGTCTGCGGTTGATTCAAGCTGTTAGAGAGTAGATATCAAAGTTCAGGAAATAATAAAAAGCTCAAAGTAATACAATACAAGGTTTTTTTTTTTTATCCTTGGCAGTTTTCAGTTTTGCCCTGGTACATGTTGGGAAATGTTCACAGCTGTTCAGAAATCGCTTAGCCTAAATTAAGAGCTACACTATATAAGGGATGCTGTTGTTTATTTTTATGGAGGACATGTTCTTTGCAATTTCTGTTTGTATTAAAACACTCTTTTTTGCCCATTTTTATGTCTTTGGTAATATAGTTATTAAAAAGAAGAAAATGTGTTAAGATCGCTGCCCAAACCCAGAAATAAGCCATAATCTTTACTACTAACTGTAAGAATATACAAAATAATTTCTAAATTTCAAAACCTAAATGGTATGCTTTAAATCTACAAAGAAGGGGTAAGTACAAGCAACGAAGAAACAAATGCAATTCAATAGCAAAGCGTAATCTTGTTTGAGCTGTGGAAACCGCTATATGCTCGATTTTCACCAAACGTATCACCTGGATGATCACACTCTGAATTCAGCCAAGGAAAATAACCTGCAAATTAAAAACGGTGTCACATCTGAATAGACGCATTGATGTCAGATATACTGTGTAGATCAGTTCTTTATGTTAAAACAGTTTGGTAAAACATAAAATAAAAACCAGATTAAAGGAATTAAAGTTCTTGCTGCAACATGATTCATTTTACCTGTAGGAGGAGGAGCAACAACAGGAGCCTGGAAGGGCTTTGCTGCAGGAGCTCCAGGACCTCCTTGTGGGTATCCAGCTCCCATAGGAGGGTAGGAACCAGACGCCATGGGAGGGGATGGGCCTTGGCTGTGGAAGCTGCCTGGGTACATGGGACCTGGGGCTCCTGGTTGCGAGCTGGGCGGCGTCATGCCTGAGGGTAAAGAGGTAGAGGGCACAAAGCCTATTGGGGGCACCCCTGGGCTCGGAGTGGGGGGTAGGCCTCCAGGGGTGGAGGATGAAGGGGGTAATGGAGGCCCTGATAAGCTTGCTGCTGGCATGGGCGGGCCTGTAGGAGAGAAGGGTCCACCAGTGGAAACAGGCTGAGGCTGGAATGGCTGATGAGAAGAGAAAGCTGAAAAAGTACAGAAATAGGAAATATTGATTTAAAATGCATCCATGTTTCTTCAATTTTCACATTTTATTATATTCCCCAAAACTAACATCAACATACTTTGAAATATAAAGGTATCACTCAACACAATGAATGACTTCATTGGGGAGCAAATGAAAAAGGGATACAGGGGTTTTAAATGTTTAGTCAGTACTTTATGGAACAACCTTTTGCTGAAAAGTCTTTAGTTGTTCTTATCAAAATAATTTGAGGTCAGTCAGATTAAATGCTGTGGCCTTAAACATGAATAGTTCTTCCAGGGATGTCCTCTACTTAGGTCAAACTATCTCACCCGATGTTTGAAACTTTGTGATAATAATGATGTAACTTCTAAAGGAAACTTTTGCAATGGATTATATTTAGAAATGAGGATGTAATGCATGCAAAATATTTTGGATTTTTATTTTGTTTAAAGCAATGCACTCCTTTCTGTTTTCTTTTCAAAAATGTCCCACTGAAATTTAGGGTTGTCACAGGACACAATGTTAAAAAGTGTTAGGGTATGTCATGGTTTGTCAGACCATTGTAAAGATTCTTTAAACCAAGGTGAAAGCTGTCAAACCTGGTGCTGCAGCAGGATGTTGCGGGTAGGGAGGTCTTACAACTGGGCGGGTGGAACTGGGTGGATGAACATGAGTGGAGGACGGCAGACCCGGGCCTGGGTTGGGTGGAGGGACTTGCGGAGTAAAAATCGATGGCATTGCAGGTTGTTGTTGGGTCGTCACCTGGGCTGGAGCAGATGGCTGGTACTGACTCTAAAATTAGTAAAAATAAAAGTCTTCAAAAAATTTTTTTGTTATCAGAAACAAATCTTTGACAAATCAACTTTTACCATAATTGGTGCTTTAGGTGCATGAGTTTGAGCTACAGAAATGGGGTTAGCTGTTGGCCCGCCGACCCTGTTGAAGGTATTTGAAGCCTGTTGTTGGGCAGCAGCCTCTCCCTGAGCATGAGACAGCCGGTCTCTCAGCATCCTGATCCCAGGCTATTGAGACAGAAATGATCATACACCCAGATTTAGAAATTCCAACTAAAAAAGGCTAAAAACTGGATTTAGAAGTGTTAAAATATGGCTCCCTACTTGGTCCGAGTTGTCAGGCAGATATGTCATTGCAGTTGCTAAGCTGCCCTCTGCAGCCAGTATGCCAGCATAGCAGGTTAGCTTCTCAGCCAGAATAGGACTCTGCACTGCTACTTCGCTGTTGCGGAGGCGCTCAATTGATTTTCGTAGCATCATTACTTTTTCAACCAGATCCTACAACAAAACATGCAATAATCACATGAATTCACATACATACACATCATTTTTTACAAACCCAGATTTCAGAGACAAGACAGAAAATGAGGTTGGATTTCGACCTGGAGATATTTTACATCTTTCTGAGCCAACTTATGGTGTGTTCACACACAATGTGTTTTAGGCGTCAAAGCATCTGATTTACATGCAAAGTCTAAGGGTGCAGCGGGACTTCCAAAGGATCGAGACCGGCATATGCAGGTGTCGTAGCGTCCAACACTGGATTTTAGAAATTTTAACTTTTGCCAAAGAAAAGCTGAACCAGGACTTTATGGGAGATGGATACTACATGCAAAAGGTTATCGCTTTTGCACAGCTGACTGCATATTAAGACTAAATAAATATAAAGGGGTTTAACTCCAAAGTTTAAAAAATAAAAAAGCTGGGAAAATGGATTGTTATATACAAAGAAAAGAGAGTGAGCTCTGATCATTATTGCTGCTCAAAGCATTTTTTATTAACCATGTAGAGCAGTTTATAAATACCTAAGTTAACAAAAAATTTTAAAATATGCCAACGATAAATATTTGATTGTATATTCTGTTAATTGTAGTTTTTTTGCACAAACCTTAAAAACTCTTTATGCCAAATTCTAGAACAGCAGCTGGAAATCCCCCCCAGGCGGGCAGCTTAGTGAGCTTTCAGTGGGGATTTCCCAGCGGTATGCTGGAGGTCTGGAGCTCCAAAGCAGAACTGCATACTTTAGTAGGATCATAATCCTAATGAACTGACTGCACAGCTGGTGTTTCGAGGTGGACTTTCTTACTAAAAATATATTAAAACAATTTTTTAAACTCATCTCAGTAAATAAAGCCAAGCTGTTTTCTAGCTTGTAGCTACAGAAAGAGCAGATAAACAACCAGAGTGCAGAGAATCCAGAGCCGATGTTTGATCCAGTGTCAAAATTTCAGCCTTTTTGAAGCCCAGATCGCATTCGATGTGAACGCACCTTTAGATCAAAGCTATTTTAAATTCTTTTAAAATGTCTCAACTGAACTATTCCCCACTAAAATGATTGCAGATCGAAATTCCCCAATAAATCTGAACTTATACCTCCAGCCCAAGAGGAGAAGAGCAGTCTCTGTGCAAGGCCCAGCACTCCACTAGCTTTTCAATGTTTCCCGAGCAGATGTAACATAGACAGGCCTGCAGGCAGCGCTTCTCTGTGCCCTCGTGCTCCAACCGGTTTCCCAGGGTATCTTGCAGGACAAATGAGAAAATACCCAAATAATAAATGCAGGAGAAAGGTTAAATAGAGCAAGAACAGACACAGGCTGATGTTAGTGAGAAAGTCAAACAAACAGTCCACAAGAAACAAGACAAGCTATAACTTGACTCATACATCAATTAAAAAGTTTATCTTACCACAAAAACAAGCAAAGTCTTCTGGATGAGCGTAAGTCAGTAGAGCAGCGAGGGCCTCCTTCCAGTTGTCAAGCTCACAGTTCTGTACTATGTCTCTCCAGTTCTGGGTCACCACTGATGATATAAGCTGGAGTTTGATGGGAATAACATGAATGGTGATTTAGCAAAATATAAGTTTCTCTTGTGTCTGCATGACCTCAGCAACTGCATTTAGGTGATTTTAAGATAAGAATTATCAGAAAACGTATGTCAGTAAATCCCTTTATGAAGTAAAGCTTGTTCTATATAGACTGATTGCTACAGTGGCCGACAGGTACACAAGGCAAAAAGTTGAAAGGTGTTGCAAAAGCATTAATGATGCACAACTCCAAACCACAAAAACACAAAATAGCATAAAGCAACAGAAGAAGAAAAAATGCTGCAGTAGCAGAAACAATTCCACAATTTTAAAAATCCCTTTAATTTTTTCCTCATGTATTTTAAAAATGTTATAGAAAAGCAGCATTTTATATAGTTAAATATACTGCTGCACCATGTGACTCAGTGGTTGACACCCTCAAAGTGCTCTTCCCTTTTGACGAGTGAGTTTGCAGCTTTTTTAACTTGTTGTTTGTGGTATTTGCAGCATTTGCATCCATCTATATTCTGTTATTACAGCACTTTTCTATGACAGTTATTTTGTTGTTGTTTGTTTTATTTAAAGTTTAAATCAATAATGTGTTTGTTCCTGTTTTTGTCATTTACTGCCCGTTTCCACCTATTAGCCACAGTACATCAAACACAAACTTATTTAGGCTGCCTCCTTTTCTTTGTTAATCTTAATAAGTTTTATTTTTTCTCTTTTTAGCCTGCTCAGGTTTAAACTTTTTCCTTGCCTCAGCCATATCCAGTAGTCGAGCAGGTGGAAAAATGTATTCCTACCATTGAAATGCTGTTTTTTTGCTTGCTAAGGTATTTCTGCTGTGTCTTCTTGAGAAGATCCTCTCCACCGCTGATGGACAGCAAAATGGCTTCAGCATAGCGACCATCATTGAGACACAAATCAACAGCACCCTCGAAGTTACCAACCAGCAACGCCTGGCTTATCAAACCGTCAGTGTCTGTGCAAAAGATCAGCGTGGTTGTTATTAATCAGGTATGCAACAGAAACTACCATGATTACAGTCAACAGATAGAGCAACAAAGTAAAAAATATCCCTAAGTGCATTTGAATGAGAATAACTTTTACCACATGAAACAGGGATTTGGAAGGTGGAATTCTCCTTCGGAGTATGACTGAAGAAGTCTGCTGGTGAAATGGAGCCGGAGGTTCGAACATCAGCTGCAGCTTCATCTGACCTCTGGGGAAAAAAAATGTAGCTTTTATTTTTAAATAATCAGGAAATATGAAAGTTAAATGGACAGATGGGAGATCAGCTGACCTCAGTTGTTAAACGCTGCATCTTCTCCGCTAAATCTTTGGCATCAACTCCATGACCGTTGGACTGGAAATTCTTCCCCAAACATTTTGAAATCTACACAAACATAATACTTTAACAGCTACAACCCTAAATGACAAAATAAAAAATAGGTCAAGAATACCATGTAAAAGAGAAAAATACCTTTCTCTCCAATTCATCTTTGCTGAAACCCAAAAGTTTAAGGAATTTAATGCGGGCCTCGTCCTCAAAGTTCACCTGTGATCAAAAGAAGCAAAACATCAAACTGGCTGAAAGACTTAAGCTACATGTCAACATGAAGATACTCCTACCAGAAGGAACTTCCAAATGTCCTGTTCCGAATCGGACTTGGCGTTCTGAATCTTGGCCTGGCAGTAGTTGTTGAACGAACCCGACTGCAGCGCGGCCTGAAGCTCCCTGGAGCGCTGGAGGAACTCTGTCTCCGTGGTAACCTGGCTCACAAAGACCTGTCTGGGGAGAGGCTGGGGGCTCTGCGCCGGAGGAAGCTTTGGATTCTCAAAGGTTATCAGCTTTCCACCAAACTGACAAAACAAAAGCAAACCAAAATCAACAGTAAGAAAAAAAAAAACAAATAGAGTTAATCTACATACAAACAATTCTTGGCAAATGCTGTTATACAGCTTTAATAAGTGTAAATGTATTAATGTTCCAATCACTTATTCCAGTGGTTTGTGGGATTTTTATGCAATACAGATCAGTGCATAATCATGAAAATTTTTAAAAGGAATTTTTTTTTTTTTACTTAAATAAAATCAGAAAGGTCTGTCTTGCTTATGCATTTAGCACCCTTTATTTGATTGAAACCATCAAACAACATCCAAGGCAACCGACTATCTTCAGATGTCATGGGATGGGTAAACGGAAAGATATTTGCAAAACATCTAATCTACCGAGACATGGCGATTCATGAACTGATAGGCTGAGCCAGGAGAGCATTCATTAGACCAGCATGGAGACGCTGATATTAGCCCTTGAGAGGATGCAAAGATTCACGCTTCAGGCAGTAGGTTCTCTCAACAGGAAAACTATTAGTTATGGGGATTTTCTTTGACACACTTTCCTAGAAACACCATATTTATAAGCTGCACAACTACTTTGAACCCTTTTGCAGAAAGAAGTATTCTAACATTCGACTTACACCAAAGGAAGCTCCAACCGGCCTGCGCACCCATTTAGGTGGCTTCTTCAGAGGAGGGATGATGGTGTCCTGCACACTGGGCTGGGGAACTTGTAGAGGGGGCAGCACTTGTCCTGTCCCAAAGGGATCCATTGAATCAAATGAGGACGATATCTGTTAAAAAAAAAACAAAAAAAAAAACATTATTTGTTCAGATAAACATTGAATTCTAAATTCACTTAAACAACATGCAAAACTGGAAAAAACTTCCAGATTCTAAAAAGATATTTTAATCAGTTTTCTTCAGTACATCCAATGATAATGGTGATGGACAGGTGTTATGGAGGATTGCCAAAGTAAAGCCCCAGGAGGTACTCATTGCACTAATTCAGAGTACTTTCATTAGTCAGCATGTGTTGCTTTACACTAGCACCATCTTGTGGACAGAGAAACAAATGCAACAAAAGCTAGTAATCACCATATCAGCGGTGCTTTGCTGCTGAGCCTTCAAGCTCCCTCCCATCACAGAGTAAACTGTGATTCTCCCATCAAATGATGCTGTTGAAAGGAGGGCTGGATTCCTGGGGCACCACTGCACATCAAAACACCACTGGTTTGTCGTTGGAAGCTCATAAATGACCTAAAATAAAAGAAATACTCCAATGAGCATCAATGTGTTGGGGAGAGATAATTTAGATATGACATATAAGCAAGTGAAAATCTCTCAGACCTCTCCAGTGTTTGGATTCCAGCAGAGGATCCTGTTGTCTTTAGCACTACTCAAAAGGAGCTCTGAATCAGCCTGGCTCCAAGAAATGGACAAAATTCCTCTGGAAGAAAAACATTCAAGACACTCTGAAATAGTTGAGCAAATATATACATATGTGAACAAGAGAAAAATCTTTAACAGTTCTACCGTTTGTGGTTTTCAAGCACTTTAAGGGGAGACGTGGCAAAACGAAGGTCCCACATTTGAATGACTGGCAGTCGGTCATCTTCCGAAGCCAATACCAACTGGGTGGCCACATCAGGGTGCCACAGCATTCCTGAACAGTGCATCTGAAATCACAGAACAGATAGGACTTAAATCACAACACCAATTTATCATCAAGCAGTTTTATCATTTTCCAGAAAAAAAAAAAAAAAAGAGAGATGATCAGAAATAAAAACTTTAAGTACCATATATGTAGTCACAGAGTTACAAAGTCATAATGTTATATATTTCTAGTGTTTTACCTGCTGGGTATATTGCTATGAGTTGCAAACATTTAAAACACAAATTTCTGTCTTTCAGTAAATTTAAATATCACTTAACAATGGTTAAAACGTTAGCATTTTTAACAATGAAAGTCTATAAAGTATACACTTGAAAAACGATCTAGAAATAAGTAAAAAATTTTTAAATCAGGTGTATTTATCCTTAATTTGAGTAGGTAAATGAGATTATTTGCCAATGGAATTAGTATTTTTACTCTTAAAATAAGATAATTAGATAATATGCACTAGAAGTAAGACAATGGAATTGTGTTTTCTTATGTTAAGTGTAAATTGTCCTGCTCCATTGGCAAAATGTGTCTTTTACCTCCTCAATCCAAGAACAAATGCACTTATTTTAAGAAAAAAATTACTGAACTGGATATCCATGTTTTCCAGTGTAAAAATTCAATATTTGGCCTAAGTGTCTTATGCATGAATTACAGGGCAATCCACCTGTGGCACTGTACGTATGTTAAAGAAGCCCAGGTTGATTTAGTAGAGAGCTTTAGCTTGTCTGTAAATTTTGATTTATGGTTCAATGTTTTCCTGAAGAGAAAGATTGATGAAAACTAGCGATGAAGTCTGTTCATTATCAGGCTTTGTTACATTTAAATAAATAAAAATACATTAAGTAATAGTCTTTAAGTGGTTTAGGTCAGGTTAGTTTGAAGTAGCATGTCCATTATGTCCTCTTTCTGAAATCAAAATATTTAGGTAAGGAACAGTATGCTCCATTATTTCTATTGCAATAAAACAAAAACAAAAAATCAACAAAAGTACAATTAAATCACCAGATAAATATACACTATATAACAATTAAATTAAACACAATATAATTTAGTGGCAAATGTATATAACCAAAAACGAAAAAATGTGTCTTGTACTTGAACTAATGATTGGTGTTTCCAAAAAAAAAAAAAAAACAAAAATTCTAAAAAAAATAAGAAATACAACTAACTCTGTTGCTGTGATCACTGATCTTTATGATGGGCTCATTCTTCCTCAGGTCCCACACAACCGCTTTCCCACTAGGGTTAGCAGAAGCCATGATGTGCTGAACCTGCCTGTTCCAGGAAACAACACTGATGTCTTCAACAGGCTGAAACAAGAAAAGAGTTATGAAAAAAGTTTCTCAAATACCTTTTAATGAGAATTAACCTTAAAGTCAGGGAAATTTGGTAGCTATCATTTGTTATATCCTTTTATTGTAACAGAGCAAAACAGACACAAAAGCCAGCAGAGGTTTCTATCAGAATTTAGTTGTGAAACTTTCAGAATAGAGCATAAAACTGGCTGGAGATCTAGCATTTCAATTTAGTTTTGTTCTTATAAAGGTTATGAGATTATTATATATTTTTAAGGCTAGCGTATTTGTGACTTTTCTAGATATCAAAATCTTTTTAAAGAGGTACTGACCTGTGTTTTTGCTCCTGGAGTCATTGGGCTGCTGAAGTTATTTAGATCCCAGATGTATATTTCTGAGTCATTCGCTCCAGATGCAAGAAGATTATTCTGTGCAAGAAAACAACAGAAATAGAAAACTGTGGATTCTAGAAGATGAGTCCGTGGATAAACTGTCCATGATGGCATTAATGAAAGCATAGAATCTACCTGAAACGGATTGAAATCAAGTGCACGGACCGGTCCTGTATGTTTGTCAGACTGCCCGATTATTGCATCTGCACCAGAATTTATTATAGCCTCTGGATTATATACAGTCAATGTGCCATTTTCACTTCCGCCAACAACTCTCCCTCCGGTGCCATCTTCTCCAGTTCCAAAATTTACCCATACAATACTGTGCAACCTTGTGGAGCAAAATAAACAGGATGTTGAACTTATTATAACAACTATAAAGCCTGTAAAAGATCAAATGTCAGCTTGTACATGTGCAAAAACAACTGAGACATTCCTCTGAAAATAGTGGTGATATAAGACACTGGATCATGGAACTAAAACTATTGTATATTACAACTTCACTCAGCAGTTTGAGGAAAAAAAAAAAAAAGTGCAATATGTTCTTTATATTCAAAACTTATGTGCAACAAAAATTCAAAAGGCAGTACAGCTTGTGGCTGTAAAGTAAAAAGAAAATAAGAAAAAATAATAATGTTCCAGGGGTCTGGACAGTTTTCCTGTACTTAGTTTAAATATCTAAAAATCAATTTTTCAATTTAGTTCAAAAATACTTAATTACCGGTAGTTGAAAAGGGAAATTAAATGCATAATTTTATTGTCATAGCTGCCATAGTTATCTGTCATAGTAGACAGTTATGGCAGGCAATAGAAAAATTGTTTTGAAAACACACAGCTAAGCACAATCAGAAACAAATTGTTCTAAGCATTTGTTGATCGACTACAGAATTTGGAAATGTAGGATTAAAAATGAAAAAGATTAAATCATAGCGTACCTGTTTGGGGTGGGCAACGAACCTTTGAGCTGCATCTCCAGAGACGGATCAGCAAAATCCATCTCAAATATTTCTATAGCAGCTGTGGTGTTAAAAGAAGCATCAAGCTGTTGTGCTGATGTTCCTAAGGCCAGGTGGATAGGATGGTGTCCAGCAGGACTCCACGCCTGGTGGGCAGTCCTTTGAATTTCCTTCAGCCTCATATTCAACTACGTTGTTCAAGTTTCAAAGCCTGGGCAGACAATTCAACAACACTATATTACCTAAACAAAGTTAATAAAGCCAGCCAATGACAATCTAATATTTTCTTGTCTGTAAAACTGATAAACACATCAGAACTAGAGAAGCAACTGGTAGTTATTTTAGTGATTGACTAATGTATTGTCTTCATGAAAGTGATTAATCTAAAAACATAATTGTTGAGTAGATTAACATTCAACTTTTATTAAACATTTTAAATAAATTGTAAATAGCAAAACAAAACAAAAAACTAACCAACCAAGATCATTTTAGTTTAATAATATTAACTACTTTTATGATTAAGTAGCAAAGGGTTGCAAAAAGTTCTTGTAGATTTCCATTTTTACAAAAGTTGAACCAGCTGAAGCAAAATCAACACCACTTGATCCGTTTCGTATAAAATATATTTACAAAGGAGATTTCTTTTTATATTTAAAATTACTTTTTTATTATAAAGAGTTGACTAAATTTGTAATCTGAGTGGGTCCTTTTAGAAAAAGCCTCTTTTTTAGACACTATACTACAGCTGTGAGAATGTGATTGTATTACTGAATTATTTGACGATTATTTTGAATAATCAATTAATCACGATTAATCTAACCGTTTTAGCACAAAAAAAACAACAACAATACGATCAATAACAGAAATGTTGACACCTAAGGCATATAAACATGTACAGTATATTTATTTATTAATTGGATCAAGATAATTTTACTTATGAATGGCGGGATCAGTGTTAATTATCTATGGATGTAAATTAGGAGAGTTTGCCGACTATAGATATTATACTATACAAATTATAACAAGGTGAGGACTTTTGCAAAAACACAAAAAGTTCCACTTGGAGCTGCAGGGGGGGATCACGAAATTCTTGGTAATAGATATGAAACAAGACATAACAAAATTACGACAAGATACCAAAAATGAAAAGGGAAATGTAACATCAGTGGGTGAAAATGAAATTATCCTCTTATCATTCTTGCAAAAGAAAGTTAATTTCACTGTAGACAGCTAAGTTGAATGTATTTAATTTTACACTGTGGACCAGCACTGACAGAGGCCATTACACTGGAAAAAAAATGCAATTTCAAGTCATTTTTTTCTTAAAATAAGTGCGTTTTTTCTTGAATTGAGAAGGTAAGTGTGAAACTTTGCCAATGAAACAAGACAATTTACATTTAAAATAAAAAAAAAAACAAAAAAAAAATAAGTGCGTTTTTTCTTGAATTGAGAAGGTAAGTGTGAAACTTTGCCAATGAAACAAGACAATTTACATTTAAAATAAGAAAAAAACAAAAAAAAAACAATTGCATTGTCTTATTTCAAGTGCATATTATCTAATAATCTTATTTTAAGAGTAGAAATACTCAATCTATTGGCAGATCATCTTATTTATCTGCCCAAAGCAAGGGTTAATACACTTAATTTAAGAAATGTTGACTTATTTCTAGATCATTTTTGCAGTGTAGCTCCATTTGTACATTTTTCACTTTGGTCTAGCTGTCTCATCCTTCAGTGTTACCTGCCAACGGAAATCCCTTTAAACCCCGTTTACTTCCTACAGCGAAAGGAAAGCTTCTGATAGAACCATTATCCCTTCATTACTTTAAGAGTTTTAGCTACATGCATATAGTTTGGAGCTTTAAACCCTACGAAGTTCCCAAACTTCTAAATTAAAATTTCCTCCTCTAATCTGACATGTAGCTAATGAGTTAGCATTTCACATGTAGCCTTAGCTTTCATAGTCTTAGCCTTACATGTCACATTGCAAGTTTCCATTAATATTAGATAATTTTTATAGATTTATGATTGAAATAGCTCTAAGCAAACAATAAATAAAACTGCCTTACAGATCGACGTGATACATTATATCCAGTTTCTATCCACACCCGATTTTGTTGTTGGTAGCTAGCTACTCGTTAGCCATCAAACCAAAAGCAAAGGAAACAGTTTTACTGAGAGCTATAAAACAATTTGTTAGTAAATTGGGTTTTAAAGAGCAACTTACGTAAACTGTCTGCTAAAAAAAGCTTGACAGTTCGCGTCCCCTGGCTCCAATTCTACTTTTCAGTCAAGCTAGCACTTCAGACCAAAGTGCTACTGTCGTGTTGTCACTAGGCTACGGTAGCCCACTAGGACATTTCTAAACGAACTCTTACATTTTGCCTAACGCCCTGACCCCATCAATCATCATCAAGATGATTCCAGCGTAGATTACATTTTAAGAATTTAAACTGTGATAAAAAAAATAAACCATTAAGATTTTTTTTTAATAAGCAAGATTAGTCCTTAAACGGAAAAAGAGAAAATGACAGACATTTTTGGAACACAAGTCTTTATTGTTTTCAGAAATATATGTACAACAGCTACATTGTATTTTCGGATTAGATTTCATAATTATTAACTTCCTCTGGTTGTTTTTCAGGATCTCCTCCTCTCTCCAAGTACAGGTTGTTGTAGGGATATTGCTTTGGAGCCTAAAACAAAATAAATGAAAATAAAGGCAATATTAAATACATAAAATAAAACATATTGGAGCATTTTTAAAACAGGAGTTTAACAAAAAAAAAATTAAATAAATAAAAACAACAAAAAGTGCATATTGATTAGGGGCTGCATGGTTTCTTTTCATTTTAGTAACATTAAAAACAACCTTCAATAAATTTAAAGATTAAAGCGAAAATTAGAAAGATGTGTTTTTAAGATTAGACAGCAAAATCAAATATCAACCCCCATTTTGACACTACCTAGCCTCTTCAATTCACCTCCAAACCCCATTTATTCAACTATCACTAAAATGAATCAAATCAGTAATACATTCTAAAGCATTAGCCACAGCATAGCATGAAACATTACTAAGTATTTAGTACAAAACCATTCTGTTTTTTTTTACAAAAAAGAGAAAATATGAGTGTATGCTTACAACAGGTTGATAGGATGGGAATTTCTCTCCAACGTAGAACATAAACAACATGAACCCGATGAAACCACACAGTTGTTTCCACATACTCGACCATGGCACCGGGGTTGGAGATGTGTCCACCCTGTTTCTGATGTACATATCGAAATCCCAGTGCATCTGAAACAATAACACATGCAGAAGAGAATACGTAATTAATTCTAATAAATCTTCAATTCCACAAAAAACAGCTTTTAGAGAACCTTTTTTTTTTTTTTGCATGACACTTAGATATTACTTCAAAGTCAGAAAGCAATACAGTATTTAAAATCGTAGGGAAACAGCTGTTCCAACCGTTGCATTTCCGAATTCTCCCGAGTGGTGCACGACTTTACACGAGTGAATAAAATGAATGTGATTGGGCCTTTATCAAGAGGGCAGGATTGTTGTGGTGGAAGGTTCGTAAGCAAGTTTGATTGTAGCCGGATTCTTGTAAGCATCTTGCTAACCAGTTAGAAACTTAGTGCAGGTAGGTTCCGAATGGGAAATTACATTGGGA